CCCATGGGGGGCCCAGCTGAGTCAGTGCTGACATGGTTTTCTAGCTTCCCATCATTGAAAACCAGGCTGCCAAAACTGGATACAGTTCTGAGGTAGCTGTGAGCTACTGGGCCTGACACATGTCTGGGCCCTGGATCCTCTAACTGGAACATAGAGACTTACTGCCTCTGGCTCTAAATTCAGCATTTGTGTGGATCATGACAGAGTGTTACATGTACTCAGAAACAGAGATAGCCTGTCTTGCATCACCACCGATGTTCTCCGCCTTGCTCTCCTCCCTCCCCTAGCCCCTCAGTGCACAGAGCTGGGGGACCATGAGGGACCCATTGTTGGCCAGCGAGCGCTCGAAAAACAAGGTCTGCTATCAGCATGTACCCCAACTAAGCCGACTACTCCCCCAAACTCTGCAACAGGGCTGCCTTTCTGTTAATTGTGGGTGGCGCTAGTGTGCAGCCCGCTGTGGAGAATGGCTCCCTGGCACTGCCCGTGGGGGACGTCTTGGCCCCTACCTGCTGCTGCCTGAGCTTCTGTAAAGGAGCCAACACCATAAGCTTTTCTCCCTCTTGGCAAGTCCCTTTCTGTAAATATTTCCCTCTTTGCAACAAGGGAAGCAGGTTCCAAGCCCAGGGCTTTGACAGGCATTGGGGTTCCTGGTTCCGTGAACCAGAACGATTTGCTTTAGCTTCATGAGCCTCCTGTCTTTGCACCTGTAGATGAGACTACCCCACCAGCCTCCTGGGACAAAATGAGGTGGTAGAAGAAAAGAGCAGCCTCGGCAACTGTCTGAGAGTAGCTCTTCTGTGCCCACACTCTCCCAGGACCACCTTGGGCAGACGTCTGGGCTGCTAGAGTGTTGTGCCGTCCATCTGTGTCAGGGGAGCGAGATTTAGGGGATACTGTGGGAGGCACACGCTGTGAGATCTGGCCTGGCTTTCCTTCAGGCTCGACTTCTGGACACCCCTTCATGGGGTTGTTATCCAGTTTATACTTCCTGTTCTGTTTGCATTATTTAGCGTCCTTACTGTGATGGCGTAACTACCAGATGGACATCAGGGCTGAGCTGTCCAAAAAGGAAGCCACATGTGGCTTTGGAAACTTTAGTTCCCAGGAACATGAGCCACATTTCTAGCACTCCCTAGCCACGAGCTATTGTATTGGACGCTCAGATACAGAACATTTCCACCATGGTACCAAGACTTCTGGGCCTTCCAAGTCACGCAAATAACTGTTCTGAACTTGAATAAGGGCAGTACAGTGGTCAACGCCAGTTGAATGTTTACTTCGGATTTATCCTTCCCTTCCCTATTTGGACAGTGTTCCCAGTCTGGTCTCCATTCTGTCACCCTGTTTGTAGTCTCTGGCAGAGACAAGGACTCCTGGATGGCAGTTAAGGAGTTTGGGGGCTGGGCCCACCCCCTACGTGGGTGTTTCAGAGTCTCCACCGCAGGGAAGGTTTTACTAGAGGAACCCCCCCCAGGCCCTTTTGATATTTGCTGAACCTCACCTCCTCCAGCAGAGGAGGTCTCACTGAGATACACGGAGAGACCCCTCAGGCGATGCCCTACTGGCATCGGAGTGCCTGGGTTCAAATCCCAGTTTGGCTGCTCAAGAGCTAAGTGTTCTTTGGTGTGCCCTTAACCTTTCTGAGCCTCTTCTCACAAGTGAAGGTACTCCCCAGCTGACAGCAGGGCTGTCTGATGTATCACCTAATGTAGGGCCTGAGGGCACAGTAGGAGCTCCCTAAGGCCCATGTCTGAAGCAGTCTCTGAGCTGTCGGCACAGAGCCTGACACAGGGCTCAAATACACGAACCGTGAGATCATGACCTGAGCTGAAGTCCGATACTTAACCGACTGAGCTTCCCAGGCTCCCCACTTTTTTTTTTTTTTTAATATTTTTATTTATTTCTAGGAGAGAGAGAGAGAGAGAGAGAGACAGTGTGAGCAGGGGAGGGTCAGAGAGAGGGAGACACAGACTCTGAAATAGGCTCCAGGCTCTGAGCTGGCAGTCAGCACAGAGCCCGATGCGGGGCTCGAACCCACGAACCGTGAGATCATGACCTAAGTGAAAGTCGGATGCTTAACCAACTAAGCCACCCAGGCGCCCCGCAGGCTCCCCACTAATAACTTTTTTTAAACAGAGCTTCATAAGCCTCACTTGACTTGCCAATAAAAATCAGCTGCTCTGTGGCCCTCCTGTCAGATTTCCCAAGGCTGCCATGTACCTATATCATTTCTTTTTTTTTTTATTTTTTTTAATGTTTTATTTATTTCTAGGAGAGAGAGAGAGAGAGAGACAGCGTGAGCAGGGGAGGGTCAGAGAGAGAGGGAGTCACAGACTGAAACAGGCTCCAGGCTCCGAGCTGGCAGTCAGCACAGAGCCCGATGTGGGGCTTGAACCCACGAACCGAGAGATCATGACCTAAGCGAAAGTCGGACGCTTAACCAACTAAGCCACCCAGGCGCCCCGTACCTACATCATTTCTGTTCATTACTTATGTCCCTCTGCCAGGTAAAATAGGCTTCAATGTGGCCCAGACAAATTGGTTCACTCAGTCAAGGTCACAGAGGCTGTAAGTAGGGAATTAACTTTCATTGGGCACCTACTGTGTGCCGTGTGCTTTTATATCCACTTAAGCTTTCTAGCCACCCTGTTGAGGGTGCGCCTTACCTCACACAGCCAGGTATGACTATTTTGCAGTATGGGCAGCAACTTACTATGTCATATAATGAAACAAGCCAAAGGGTTCTATGCAGATGGGCTTTGTTTTAAGTCCTGGTCAGACCTTTGTGACCTTGAGCACATTTCTTGTACTTTCTGTATCTGGCTCCCCCCTCCCCCCATCCTTGTTAAGAGGGTGATGGCACATTTCTCCTGGACTTAACCAGGATTAAATACAAGTAGTGTATGTAAAAGGCCTCACACCAGCCACCTAGGAGGTGTTTCTCCCTGAGACACAACACTGACTTATAAGGAAAATGTAGCTTCCCCACATGCCAGAGTGGTATCAGCACTTCTTCAGAGTCTGCCACCAAAGAGCCCAGAGAGGATCATATCCCATTACAATTACTGATGGCATCTTGAAGTAGCATTTCGACCATCATGGCTGCCCTGAAATGATCGTGGCCATTAGACTTAGATTAGATGCCTGCCGCTAGGAGCTTTTTACATAATGTGTTGATGAGAGAAAGGACATAGATGACTTCATCACAAATTTGTTTTTCAACAAATTTTTATACCTAGTTTTCAATATCATTGGCTTCCTTTGTAGTCCTATGTATTTTATCTAGTGCGTCTAAAAACACTGTCCCGAGATGGAGTCCATAGACTTCACTGTACCGGCAAAGGGGCCAGGGTACAAAGGTTGAGGATTGCTAAAAGGAGGTTCAGGGAGGCCAAAGGTATTGTCTCGGTTTGGTGAAATCAAGATTGGAATCTAGGTCTGCATAACTGACTATAAATCTGCAGAGGATCCAGGACCGAGGGTGAACAGAGAGGGAGGATGACTTTGGCCAAGCTCAGATGACCAACAGAAAGGAGGCCGGGGTGGGTGGTTAGAGAGAGCATTTTACCAGTATTTAAATGACATAATCACAGGTGTGTTTTCAGAATGGAATACTGCACAACAATGAGAGCAAATGGGCCACTACAACACACAAGCACTTGGGTGGATCTCATCAACATAATATTGAGTCAGGGAAACTGGATGCACCCATATCATGTGATTCTAGTTAGACAAAACCCAAGAAGTGGCAAAGCTAATCGATAGGGGCAGGAATGAAAATGGCTGTGTATAGGGGCACCTAGGTGGCTTAGTCGGTTAAGCGTCCGACTTTTGCTTAGGTCATGATCTCGCGGTTCGTGGGTTCAGGCCCCACATCGGGCTCTGTGCTGACTGCCAGCTCGGAGCCTGGAGCCTGTTTCAGTCTGTGACTCCCTCTCTCTCTGACCCTCCCCTGCTCACGCTGTCTCTCTCTCTCTCTCTCTCCTAGAAAGAAATAAAACATTAAAAAAAAAAAAAAAAGAAAAAGAAAATGGCTGTGTATAGATGTGGGTATGAACTGGAAGGGGGCATGAGGAATCTTTCTAGGGTGATGGAATGTTCCATCACATGATCAGGTGGTGGTTTCCTAGATCAAAACGCAAATAATGCATTTAAGTTCTGTGTGTTTCATTGTAGGTAAACAATACCTCAATTAAAAACAATAAGGATAAGAATTGCTATTTCCATCTTACTGATGAATCAATGAGGAGAGAAATTAAATAAAAGGGGTCCTTATTGTCCAATCCTCTTGCTGTGATGGGAAGTTAAAAGGGAAGTAGGTGCAGGTGACCAGACTGGTGGTTTCTGTGTGGGGAGCACCTCACTCAAATCCCTCCAAATAGCTATCCATCTCACTCAGAATCAAATCAAGTCCTTATGCTGCTTCACAAGTAGAATGAATATGAAAACTGTGTTATAGTCACATAACAGAACATTATTTAGCAATGAGAAGAAACGAACTACAAGTATACTAAACATGGTCGAATAATTCTGAGCTGAAGAATCTAGATATAAAGGAGAAGACCGTGTCTGATTCCATTTATATTAAGTATAAAACATGCCAAATAATCTGTGGAGTTAGAAGAATAGTAGTTACTCTTGAGGAGGCCATGATGGAAGGGGACACAAAGGTCCTCTGAGATATTGGTCATGATCATGGTCTGTTAAGTGATCTGAGACCTAGTTACACTGATTGACTTGTGCATTTAAAAATGATATAAGCCAGTGAAACACTAAAGGATCACACCTAAAAGCAGGGGTTCTGAGGCACCTGTGTTCTGTGTACATGGGGCTCCTGGAGTTGTGCAACTCTACAGCTCTGCCTGGAAGCTGGTTGTCCCTGAATCAAATCCAGTGCATCTCGAGCAGACAGAGAGGGACTCTGATATTGTCGCCAATGCCACAGCATCATCTCTGGGGTGTTTTCAACATGCAACTGCCAACCCCCCCCAACTTACTCAGGGTCCTGCACGGAGCCTCCCACACAGTGGAATCTCTCGGGCACGGTTTTCCAGTCTTTAGCCATTTTCACCATGGCCCCTGCATCAAGGACCCCATAGCCAAAAAGGTGATTAAACTCCAGGCCAACCCCATTCCTCCGCCATTGATGGACCTCGTCGTGCAGCTGGTTCCGTTTGGAGGTGAGCACAGTCAGATGCTGCATGTCTCTCCAGGTCAGACCCAGGCTGGATACCAGAGGCAGAGAGATTCAAGAACAAGGGTAAGGGAGAGGGCACAAGGTGAGAGAGAGAGAGAGAGAGAGAGAGAGAGAGAGAGAGAGAATGACTAAGGACATATACCTCTTGTAGGATTTTGGAACATCTATGAGCCCCCAAGTCAAGGGAGGATTTCCATGCACCATTTAGAGCCATTATATATATATATATATATATATATATTTAAAAATCTTGTCTTTCTTACTGAATTAAATTTACTTCAAAGGCACATTCTAACACATACTGGAATGGTTGAAATGAAAAAGACTGACAGTACTAAGTACTGGCAAAGATGTGAAGCCACTGGAGCTCACATACTTTGCAGATGGGATTGTAACTTGCTGCTGACACTTTGGAAAAAACTATTTGGCTTTTATCTTCTCATGTCCCAGTGTCCAAGCTATGGCCCAGAAGTTCCATTCCTAGGTATGCATCCCCTCAAAATGTGTGTATATATCCAGCTGACATGTACTGGAATGTTTACAGGCCCAAACTACAAAGCCTCCAAATACCCATCCGCAATAAAATGCATAAACCAACTGAGATGTATTTATAGGATGTAAAACACTGTCTTACAATGAGAATGAATGAACTACAGCTACTCTGAATAACATAGATGAATCTCTCAAATAGAATGTCACTCTAATGAAGCCAGACCCAGAAGAGAACATACTGTATATTATTACGTTTGTTTAAAGTATAAAAACAGGCCCAACTAATCTGTGCTGTCAGAAGTCAGGTAAGTGGTTAGTCTTGGAGCAGGGGCTGGACGGGGACGCAAGGGAGCTTCTGGTTGCTGCCAGTGCTCTGCTTCTTGATCTGGGTCTTGGCAACATGGATGTGTTCCATTTGTGTGAATGAGGCTGTCATTTCTTCAAGAACAGAGATGGTATCTTCAGCATATTTTTGTCCCCAGGGCCCAGGACAGCAGCCCTTTATACACTGTTTGCCCAGTGAATAAACAAATCTGCTTGCACATGCTATTGTCTTTGGAAATCAGTGTCTAATATAACTCATGGCCTGTGTTTTTCAAAGGGCAGGTCAGAGCCATCTGTTGCCCAGGAAAGCAACTTATTGCAAAGATTACCTACCTGGGCTGTACGTTAAAATCTTCTGGTGAGGAAACTTCAAATCCCATTGCTTAGGCTACATCTCTGACCAATTAAATAAGAAATTTCTGGGAGTTAGACTCAGGCTTTGGAAACTGTTAACACTTCCCAGGCCAATTCTAGTAGACCGTTAAGCTTGAAAACCCATGATTTAATGAACAGGACTATCATTAAAAAATAAACAGAATAGAACAGAAAAGAGTAAGAGCATGCATTAGCATGTAATACAGGAATCTATTTTTCATGGAACTGTGTATGTGTGTGTGGTGTTGGGTTGCAATGCAAAATTTATTCCTGAGAGTCATAATTGAAAGGTGGAAAAGCCCTACATTGTGGTTCTCTTCAAATAATTCAAAAGACTAGGAACAACATAACTCATTTGATTCCAATACACGCAGTGTTCATTGGTTTGAAACTTTGAATCAGAGCCAAAAGATGCCAATGAATCATGTACTCTTGCAATGCAGACCTTCAGCTATTATGGAGAAAGTTTCAAAGAAGGTCACTGCTTATCTGAGAAATTTATGAACATATCTTGGACATATGGTCCCCAGGACCCAGGTGAATGGTGTGAAACTTCCAGAAGTTGATTATGGCTAAAAGCTCAGGGTTTTGTCAGAATGGGATTCTGAATTAATTACACATAGAAGTGTTGATAAATGAGGAGCTAGTGGTCTCGAGATGATCTGAGGGCTGGCTGGCAGGTGGATTATTGCCCATCTTTGCTGGGGGTTCTGCCACAAAGATGTGCAAAGCTTCCTGGAGCTTGGAGAGGGACCCTGTTAGACATTTCTCCACAGATTTATTCTCATGGAGTCTATGAGAAATAGAGAGAGTGCATCAGAACAAAGATCATCTCACTTCTAGAATAAACTAGATAGTCCATACACTTACGTAATTGAGTTTGTGACATTGTTTGGCCAGCCATTTATGTATGTCTGAGAGGTAAAACTAAGTCCCTCATAATTCTGCCTTCTGAGTAATTTCAGAATTGACAGAATACACCATTGTGCAAAATAGTATTTCTTCAATTTCTGCTTTAAGCTTTATTCCTACCATGGTAGCTCAAGAATTGTAGGTCATACTTATTAAATAATAAAAAATAGTAAATTTACAGGTGATCTACAATATAAAGGTCACTGTGAACAGTGTAATAGGACAAATAACATGACAACTATTTTATATAATAAAAATATTATATTCCATACTTGTGTATGGAAAGGTCCTGTACAATGAAGTGATTCTATGAGGGTCCTCTGAGTGTATATCAGCTCTGGGCACTGCAATGGTTGTGGCATGTTGTAGGAAGCTCCCTGCTCTTTCAGAGGCTACAGCCTAAGGGGACAGAAAGACAACTCAATATTTTAAAAGGGAGGGCTGCCATGATGGGGGAGCTCTCAACACCAAGAAAACTAACTGTGGAGCTGATGTGTTATCCCATCTAGGGAGTCTCAGACTCTGGTCCTCAAGTCTCCTGCATCAGAATCATGCAATGACAGATGTAGATTCCTGCCTCAATGCCCTTTCTATATTTTTAAGATAAGACAACAGAAATCCAGAGGCAGTAAATGATTTCCCACGTAGATGCCAGGAGATTGGAAGACATGGCTATTGTCTCCTTCGTATCTATCCTCCCTCTTCCTTTTTAAGAAAACCTCAATTTTATTCAGAACAGCAACATTACCAGCTACAAAGCTACATTTCCCAGCCTCCACTGCAGTCTGGGGTGGTCGTGACAGTTCTGGCCAATGAAAAATAAGCCAAAGCCACTGGGTGATGCTTTTCAGAAAAACCTTTAAGAAGGCTGACTCAGATGGTGGATCTCTTTTGTCCCTGTGCTGTTTCAGTTTTTCCTGTCTGATGTATAAACATGATGGCTGGAGCTCCAGCAGCACCTGGAGAATGTGAAGGTAGAAGAGCAGAAATCTAGAAAGAGCTGGATTCCCCAAATCCCAGGGGTACCCTCATAGGAGCCTGGGGCTCCTTACCTCTGTTTCATTTTTCACATGGCAGAAAAATAAAACCCTGTCTCAGTTTAACTATTGTTATTGGGATTTTCTGTTTCCAATCTTGACCTAGTCAGAGGCAGAGTCCAAATATTCACCTGCCAAACAACAGTATCTTGATTCATAGGTTTCTAGAGCTCTTGCTTTACTGCCTGCTCCTGGCCATGGAACAGCTGCAGCCTGGCTACTTACGGAGTCCTTGGAACAGGGCTTGAAAAGACAAATCCCTGGGCCATCCATCCCCAGAGATATGTATTCAGTGACTCATGGTTGAGACATGGGAATCTATTGCTTTCAAAATTCCATCCAGTGCTCAAATTTACCAGTTATCAGGGAAATGCAAATTAAAAGTAGAGTACAATTCTACTGAACAGTTATAAAAATGGCTAAAGTGTGGAAGACTGGCAATACCAAGTGTTGGCAAGGATGTGGAGCAACCATTAACTCATACTGCCAGTAGGGGTGTCAATGGCTATTTGGAAAAATTTTGAAAAACTCTTTGGGGGTATCTACTAGCACTGCACATAAGTATATCCTGTGACTCAGCATACTGAGTGTCTGTTATACACCCAACAGAAATGTATTCATATGTTCACCTAAAGACATGTGTACAAATGTTCACAGCAATATTACTCATAATAGCCCCAAACTGGAAACAACAAGTATCCATTTTGCAGCAGAGTAATTAACAATAGTATGAATGACCTATAACCACACACAACAGTATGGAGGAATCTCTCAGACATAATATTAAGCAAAAGAACATATACTGGTACTTAGGTAATGGTCTGTTTCTTGATTTGGATGCTGGTTAACAGGGGTCTGCTAACTTTGTAAAAAGTCAGTGAGCTGTATCTAATATTTGTGCACTTTTCTCTGTGTCTCTTACACTTTGATAAAGAGTTTACATGAAGAAAAATCCATCTTCTGGAAGGTCTGTTTTGGAAACATATTCTAGTCCAATATGTGGGCCATGTTACTACAGATAGCTCTTTCAAGCTAAAAAATGGCCTCTATATAACCTACGCCTCAAACCTAGCTCAGCCTTTTTGAGCCACACAGAAAGCCCTGGGTCATGGAGAGAATGCAAAATATTTGTAGCTGGCAGTCACTCTCCCACCCCCATCCAAAGAAATCTTTTGAAGTTTTTTCTAGTCTTAGTCACACTGGGAAATGTGAGCGATATTCCCTGTGACTCAAGAAGCCATTTTCAAGCATTGGCAGAAAAGCACATTATTAAAGTAGTGACTGGGCAGGGCAGAAGAATAATGGCTTCCCTTTTCTACCCTGGAGTCCTGGGGCGTAGCTGCTCCACTTTCATGGTCCTGATGGGCATACATTTACACAGGATAATTTGTTTATTGCACCCAAACTGCTTTGGAAAAGCTTTCTTATTGGACCTCTGGGTGGCAAACAGCCCTCAACTGCTGTTACACGCCACCAAGGACTCCCAGTTGTCTCATCTCACGATAAAGAGAGAGGAGCTGTAGAAACTGTTCATGGAGAGGCTTTCCTACTTCCTCCCTCCAGATGCTCTCTTGGGCTATTTTGTTCTGAGCAGTGGTTTTAAGTGCTGGCTTCTGGAATTGCTTTGCCCACAGGTGTAGAAAGCCAGAGGTGCCTTGGAGTTTACCTCCCCAGGCACAGCTCTCAGCCAGTGACTGACCACCACCAGGACATGGCAGCCCAGCATCCTCTCCCTGAGGGAGAACACACTCTGAGGCATAATTTACACCCCAGGGCTCCTTATGGGATCAGGCTGAAGCCAGAACTTCTGAAACTGCATCCTTACTTGGGTTCTTCCCCATCCTTAACCTGCTTCCTCTACTTTATCTTGGTTTCTTCCAAGAGTCCTTTCTTAATAAATTGCTTGCACCAACTTCTGTCTCAGGGTGTGGACCAACCTCAGGCAGTGGTGTTCTCAGAAATTTTAGGACCAGCTCCTAGGATGGGTTTGAATCACCACTGCCAAGTATCACTTTTTTTCCTCTTGATGGCAACAGAGATTTAAAAACCATTGCTCCAAAACAAAGTGTGCCCAGGTGGTGATGTCTTTTCTGTAAAGCTATCTGCAAGTGTAGGGGCTCCTGGGTGGCTTAGTCGGTTAAGTGTCTGACTTTCGCTTAGGTCATGATCTCGCGGTTCATGGGTTCGAGCCCCGCGTCGGGCTCTGTGCTGACTGCCAGCTCAGAGCCTGGAGCCTGTTTCAGAGTCTGTGACTCCCTCTCTCTCTGACCCTCCCCTGCTCATGCTGTCTCTCTCTCTCTCTCCTAGAAATAAATAAAATTAAAAAAAAAAAAAAGCTATCTGCAAGTGTATTCAAGAATGGTGAATAATTGGTGCACCGCCCATGAACCTGTTTAGAGACCTAGTAGCCTTGTACCATTACTTTGATGTATTTAGGTCGTCTCTTTGTGTGCACAGAGGCCTGGGCAACTGACTTTTTGCTTGCCAAAGTGCAAGGTGACTTTGAGTCAAGTTCTGTCCTCTGAGATTGAAAGGGTGACCAGAACCCCCTTCTCGGTTTGGGAGTGCCCCTGCTCCCTGTTCTATGCAAGGCTCAGCGGCAGCCAGCAGGCTCCCACTGTCTGCTCCCACCTGGAGTGAGAAAGCCGGCTCAGACACCGGGGCCTGACAGGACTTCAGATAAACAGTTTCATCTTCAGGAAATGCACATACTTTGCAAGTTTTGGTCTCTGTGCTTAATAGAAACACTTCAATCAGTGTTTCCTGGAATCGTGGATTTTCCACCTGACTGTTCTTTGAAGAATCAGAGTTTGGCCTGGTCCAATGAAAGGAGTCACTCCCAATTTGGGGTCTTATTTGTAAAAGGAGGACAATTATGCCTCTTCTGCTTAAAGACAAAGTGTTGGACTAGGTAATTTTGCAAAGTCCTTTCCTATCTAGCAATCAATGCTTACCTTCTTTGCAAGTCAGAAAACGCACTGTATACATGGAGAGGAACGAGTAGAGCTGCCTGGGGATTAATGCTAGAAGCTTCGGTTGCCTAGCAACGGCTGACAAGGATGGGAACTCAACTCCCCTTCCCCAGCAGAATGAATCCAACTTCTCACAAGTTGATGGTGCTGCATTCTTGAACAGCTCCCTAACAACGTGGGCTTTGGCAATCACACCACACAGATGATGCCTGAGACCACACGTTCATTCTTCAGAGTAATGGGTGGGCAGGAATCTCTGTTGAGGACCAAATCCAAGGTGTGTTCAGCAACAGCAATGTGGCCTAATCTCCTCTTACTGGTAGCTTGGAAAGTTTCTTAGTAAAGCCCATTTCCTGGTCTACCTTGTATGATTTTGCCCACCTTGTCTTAGTATTAAAAGTGACTTTACTTTTGGGGCACCTGGGTGGCTTAGTCAGTTAAGCGTCCGACTTTTGCTTAGGTCATGATCTCACGGTTCGTGGGTTCGAGCCCTGCGTCGGGCTCTGTGCTGACTGCCAGCTCAGAGCCTGGAGCCTGTTTCAGTCTGTGACTCCCTCTCTCTCTGACCCTCCCCTGCTCACGCTGTCTCTCTCTCCTAGAAATAAATAAAACATTTAAAAAAAAAAGTGACTTTACTTTCTAAGCTAATGAATCTTGAGTGGGGGCACCCTGATTACCACATGTTCCAAAATGCTTTGCTAGATACCAGTTTGGCAACAGTTTTCTTTCATTTAGCTGACTGTATTACAGAAGTAAGATAAGCAAAGGATCCAGAGACGATAACACAATTGTCTTCACAAAGAAAGAAATATCCACCTGTCCCTGCTTGGGATCTGAATAAGTAGCTGATATGCGCTATTGAGTGTTGGGGTATTGTGCTTTTCTAAGGATGTTATTTGTAGAGTGTGTGTGTGTATCATTTTGGGCCCATGGTTCATTTAGAAATGTCCATCACAGTTCATTGGCCCTGACTCTTCAAGACTCTCACACCCACTTTTGCCTCCATAGACCCTTGGTATTGGGTGGAAAAACAAATGCCAGTTCCACCCTTGGCCCCAAGATGGAAACATACTTAGCCTCTAAAGCCAGTGCAAACACTCCCGCTGCCTCGGGGGCAGCCGCGGATGTCCCAGAATGCCTCAGAGTGCAGTTGCCATACAAATCTGTGGTTGCCTGGAAGGGAAGACATTCAATAATGAGTGAATAATCACTCTATTTTGAATCACAAAACAATACGAAGCAGAGGGTTATCTCTTTCTTTTATTTAAATTCTACCTTGTTCTGAGGACAATTAAGATGAAAGTAAGGATAAGCTTAGCATCCATCCATCTATCTTGCCATACATTTTATTCTAGCTTCCTAGTAGCCCATGCAAAAAGGGACAATTAGTTCCAGTCTGAGTGCTCATGAGACAAAAAAACAAGTCAATTGTTCAGAGAGGCAAATTTGCAGCTATTCCAGAGACTAGAAAGACATCTGTTTCCAGGATCCTGAGAGGAAAATCTATAGCCAAAAATTGACAAGTCAATACTACCACCAAGTCAATGCAACCATGAGCATTGCCCTGGGATCAGTTTGGAAAACCCAAGCTTACAATGTCATTTGTTTCCCTTCACAAAGGAAAGAATAAACATGCTCAGCTAAAGTTTGCCTAGAAAGACAGGACATTAAAAAGAAAATGTGTCTCTAGATCTCATGAAGAGATGCTAAGACACATGAAGCCACGATAACAGATGTGTGAGTGATCACTTCCAGAATTCTTAAGTGGAGAGACTGATCAATAGGGTTTTAAAGGACTCACAAAGAGGGGAAAAACCCCTCATTTTCAGTGAGCCAGGGTGAAAGCCAGGGTGTTCATTTAGATCATGTCTAGACCACAGGACTTCTCCTTCCTCTGTCTGTAGGATCCTCAGAGAGGCCTATTAATTTGGGGTACAAAGTATCAGGGAAGTTTTAAAGGTATCTTTTGGGGGAAAATTACAATGTTCAGATAGAACTCAAGGCCTTTCTCTTGCCCAAGTAGAAAGAGAATCATAGATAAGGTTGAGGGCAGAGTGATGCCATTGGGGTAGGGAGGGTCAGCTTCTCAGGGAAAGGAGTGAATCATCCCTCACTTCCTTTCTGCCCTGCTCTTCTCACTTTCTGCCCAGATAGCTCTCCTAGGAAAGGAGATGCTAAAGCCATCTTCTGCTTGGGAGGATCAGGCACACTTGCTAGTTCCCCAAGGGGGAGCTCAGGAGGGCTCACGGAAGGAGGCAGCTAGGGTCTGTGTCCCTTCCAGGTAAAGGGATCTTTTGGCTCACAGGAGAGCCAGGCCAGCTTGGCTTGGCAGAGTTCAGGCAGCAACTGGGGACTGGAGTCCTGGTTAGTAATGGTGGTTGTGTTCTGAGCTCCTGTCCCACTTTGGGAAGCCCCAGCTGAGATAGGTGGCCAGTCAAAATGTAGCTCAGCAGAACTACTGAACCACCAAACAAATTTCAGGCTTGGAGGTCTGAGGAAAGGCTGATATGTGAGTGAAATACCCAGAGAGAGGAAGAGCTCCAAAAAGGTTCATTATGCTCTACCCATTAGATTTTAAAGGGATTTGGAAAATTCACCGTGTTAGCTAGCTGCCCAGGAAGGAAGGACTGCTCAGAAAAGTGCAATAAGTAATCTAAGTCTGGGATTCTTAACCATTTTGTTTTCTCAGTCATGGACATATTTTAAAATAGAATGAAAACCGCTGCTCTTGCTTTGAGAAAACACACATGTGTGCCCAATTTTGGAGGGCTTATGGACCCAAGAGAAGCCCATCTATGGATGCTATTTTTTAATTACTATAATAAATGGATGGGCTCTTGGCTCAGATGCTCACAGTACATTGCTTCAGTTTGTTTTTGTTGTTGTTGTTTTTTAAGAACGTGAGAGAGACAAGAGAGAGAGCACATGCTAGTGGGGAAGAAGGGCAGAGGGAGACAGAGAATCTTAAGGAGGTTCCATACTCAGGGCAGAGTCTGCCCATGGGCTCTATCAGGAATGATAACCTGAGCCAAAATCAAGAGTTGAGGCTCAAGTGACTGAGCTACCCAGGTGCCCTGATACCCTAGTTCTTAATGTTCTCTTTATAAGTGGTGTGCTGCGGAAACTTTTTGATCATGAGTTCGTCATCATTTGTAAGGCAAAACAATAAATAAGAAAGACAACCTATGGACAATGACCTGGAAAGGAAGCACGGTTCTTGCTTCCAACTTGCACACCGTATGGCTCTACCTTGATAACAAAGCGTTATCAGCCCTGAAAGACAATGGATCTCCAGAGCCTCACTCTTCGAGGGTAGGAGGGCAGATCTTCTTCCTCCCATGAGGTCACACACTGGTGGCTCATGACGTCACATAGCAGCTGTGCCCTTCACCACCTCACCGAAGGCCCGGGACTGCACTTACCACGCCAGCCTCAGGGTTCCTCTTCCTCCCGTTGCTGAAGGTGGAGGCCAAGGTGGAGGAGCAGCTCTCATCATATAGGGCGGTCCTGCCATCGTTGATGGCCGAGTTGATGGAGATGGTCCACATGCTGGAGGCGTAGCCATCACAGTTACAGTCATCGTAGCTGCCGCCGTCCCCAGAGGCCCACACGTAGATGCTGCCTTTGCCGCCTCGACCCTGGGGGGACACAGGGAGAGAGGCCACCAGATCCCGTGCGCCCCGCGGGGGGGTTGCCGGGGAGGGAGTGGGGTCCCGGGCAGGAGGACCGGGGAGGGGGCGGCCAGCGGGGCAACTGAGGTCAGGACCCGGCTTCCTCACCAGCTCTGTCTGCCTGGAAAACCACTCTCCTGCCCGAGGGACACTGTGAGAATTCTCCATCTTGTGTCCGAAGGATTCAGTATAAAAAGTTACCTGAAGTTAGTATTTGAGCTTGGGGGTAACCCAAGAAAAGCTGGAAGAATTGCCTTAAAATTTACAGGAAAATTGCTTTTAAAAAGCTATAAGAGTATGAAGTCATGGTAAGAAATCAAAGTCTATGAAAAGAAAAATGAAAGAAAAACCCTCCTACATGTAATCATTATTACCCAATTCTTGTTCCTCCTGTAGACATTGTTTTCAGCAAAAACGTAAATGTACATTTATATTTATACTTAGCTCTATAAGATGTAAAAGATATTTATATATCCTTGATTTTATATTTATTTTTATATATACACTTTACACATATGTAGTTATTTTAAGTTTAAAATACACATTTTACTTGAATATAAATAAAATTTGTAGATCATGTGTATGTGTGTGTGTGTGTGTGTGTGTGTGTGTGTGTATTTACCTGATTGGATCATATTAGAATTCTTTCAAACACAATATTATATGACATTTTACCTGTGTAAAGGAACACCAAATATAGGAAGAAAGTTTAATATGAACAAAAATAACGTTAAAGGCATAATAGTATGCACAAGTTACTACTATGTGCTAATTAGTTATGAACATCAAACTTAGCTATAAATCCCTACAGTTCACATTGCTCTTCTGTTTAACCATGTTTTTATTTGCCTATCCTTTTCTTTTCTTGTTCTCTGTCTTCTAGGAGTATTCTCTCTCCCTCCACAACCCAGGAGTGTCCATCCCCTCTGGCTTCCTATGTTCTGACTCTGGGGACAGTAGGGCGGGGGGTACTCTGTTTCCCTGCAGGCTAGGTGGGCAGAGCAGAGCAGCCATGCAGCGTGGGAGGTAAGGGCAGATGTACAGCTGCCCTTCTCCTCACAGCTTGGCCCAGGACAGCTCGGTAACCCTCTAGGACCAGAAGATATAGATGTTATGGCAGAGAAAGTCTGTTCCTGGATGGCCATCAGGAGTCTCTGTCTTGACTCAGGGCCTTAAGGGCAGAGATACCAGAAGGCAGGGGGAGAACTGGATTGCCTCCAAGGTCTCTCTGCCTCCTGGCAATGAGAAAAGACACTTTGATTGCTTTTAACAGGACTTGGAGTTAATTAGCCTCTGATTGACTGAGTCGATATATCAACAAAGATTTAGTCAGCAGGGTCTTGGAAAATCTATACTGGAAAACTCCAGTGAAATCAGTAACTTCTCTCAGAAACCAGGACAGACAGGGAACTATATCATCCTTACAGCTGGTACAGGGGATCACACTCTCAGACAGACTCGGATTTGGGCTCGATGTCAAGAAATGGCACCCAATGAAATTGAGACAGGTGTGGATTAGGGTGAATGGGTGAAGCCCACCAAACATGGAAACTTTCCTCTGATCCAGTCCACAGATGGACTGCCGGTGAGACAGAGCAACGTTTGCTAAAAGGTAATCAGTGTTAGAAGCATTGTCACCGTGTTGTAGGGTTTTGGGGGACAATTGTGACTCTACGTTTTCAGACTTCTCTGTATTCATGCCTTCTCTGCAGTATTCTGTTGCACCATGGAGCAAACCTGAGTTGGCCTGCTGGTTGATGATAGATTTAGCCCAGCTTATTGTCCCAGCTGATAGCCAACAAGTGGCAGACATATGAAGGAGGCTGGTCTGTAGTTCACCTTCCAGGTGACCACAGATGCATGAGTTAGGCCAGCTGGCATGAGCGGAGGCTGGCCCAGATCAGAAGAACAACCCAGCTGACCTGTAGAGCCATGAGCAGGACTTAAATGGTTTTAAACTACTGTGTTTGGGGGCAGTTTGTCATGTGGTCTGGCCCACTGATACACAGGGCTCAACTGTCAGCCCGTTTCTGAGGAGTAAGCAGCAAACATTAGTTTTGTATTGGACTATAAGACTTGCCCACAAGACTTGCCACTGTGATTCCTAGGAATTTAAGCCTTGTTTTTCTAAGGTAGGGGTGTGTGTGTGTGTGTGTGTGTGTGTGTGTGTGTGTGTGTGTGTTTATATGATGTAATAATGGTTACAGCTGATAATTGGGTATCAGCACCCAGATAGTCCCCAAGTAGTCTGGGGATAGATGCATGGGGAAAGGGCATCTATAAGACAGCTCAGACCTGGTTCTGGAATGGGTCTGTTACTGGCACACCTTACTTTCCTGTTTTAATGATGTTCCAAGATCTAGTTCTGCCCCCAGATTCTCCTGAATGGGAGCTGGGCAGAAACAGACTGAATAACTATGACCCATATTCCAACAATAATCAGTTGGGAAATACAGCGAAAGGAACAAAGATGATAATCAGAAGAAGCACTACTGTGGCACTTTCTGTATGCCAGGGGCTGCTCTAAGGACTTTACATATTAACCTGCTAAATCCTGATAGCAATCCAATGGGAAGCACCATTTATACTAACCACAGGAAGGGTAAAACACTTAGACGGAAACCCAAGAAACTAAAAAAGAAAAAAATGAGCTAAGAACCTAATAAGACTTCAAAACTCTGTGGAAGGACACATGAAGATTTGACCCAATGGAAAGACACATCAACACATGATGTTCTTGGACAGAAAGAAAGCATCACAGAGATGTCGATTTTCCCCAAGTTAACTTATAAATTTAACATTCCAGTCAATACACTGTATCAATCAAGGTTCAGTCAGGCAAAGAATGCTACACTACGCAGTTCAACAGAAAGAATTTTATCCAGAGACTACGTGGTAAAGGAGAACCAAAGGCCAGATGGGATTGGGAGGCTCACCTAGAGACTCATATGAGATGGGCCAGCAGTCTACACTGCAGGAGGGAGCTGGGCCCAGAGGGTGGGCTGTCTGCTAGGGATCTCCAAACCTTATTCAGTAGCACATGCTCACATAATAGACTGGCAGTCAGACTTGCCCCAGTCCTTTACATTGGAATTCCCTTCTCCACCTCCACTCTCCCTCCTATAGGATTTTTTTTTTTTAAGAAGACAAGTGCTTTTGGATGAAATTTAAAAATTAAATACATGGTGCAGCTTCACTTTGAATTCTGTATTTGAATCGAGTGTCTCTGTGAGTTTAGCAGGATTAGTGTCTTTTTAAAGTTTTAACACAATGGGTTTCTCACCTCAGGGGCAATTTTGTGTCCCAGGGGTCATGTGGCACTGTTGGAGACATTTTCCATGGTCACAACTAGCATCTAGCTGGAGGATGTGTGTGCATGTACTACTAGCTTCTAGTGGGTAGAGGCCAGAGATGCTATTAAACTTTGACAATGCACAAGACAGTTCCCTACCCCCTGTGCCACCACAACAAAGAACTCTCTGGCCCAAAGTGTCAGTGGTGTGGAGCCTGAGACTCTCACCTATTGGTAAAGGTCAGTGAGTCAGAACTTGCTTGTTTTAGGGGCATAGTCTAACGTTTTTTGTTTTGTTTTTGTTTTTGTTTTTTTAAATTTCTGAGCAAGAGAGAGATAGTGTGAAAAGAGGAGGGTCAGAGAGAGAGGGAGACACAGAATCTGAAACAGGCTCCAGGCTCTGAGCTAGTTGTCAGCACAGAGCTTGACACGGGGCTCGAACCCACGAACTGTGAGACCATGACCTGAGCTGAAGTTGGCCGTCCAACTGACTGAGCCCCCCAGGTGCATTAAGGGCATAGTCTAAAGCAGCCTCTTGTGAGCCCCAAATTCATTTATTATTATTATTTACTAAATCTTACATGTTACATTTTGTAAACTTAAGGTGTATAGTGTATTACTTTGATACATTTAGAGTCTAATGCGAGTGCCACTGAAGCAACATTTACCTCGTTACATCGTTAGAGTGCAATATTATTGTCTATATCCATTATAGTATGCATTGGATCTCTGTGGCTTCTTTACGACTTGTTACAAGTATGCACCCTTAAACACCATCAGTCTTATCCCCCACCCCCTATCCTCTGGTAATCATCTTAATTCTATTTTTTTTCCTTTTTGTTCTTAAGAGGTTTGACTTTTTTAGATTCCACACGTAAGTAATATCATACGGTACTTGTATTTTTCTGTCAGACTCACTTTCCATAATGTGTTGTTGCAAATGGCAAGATATCCCTCTTTTTCATGGCTGAATAATATTCCATTGTACATATAATGGATTAATCCACATCTTGTTTATCTGTTCATCCATGGATGGGTATTTGGATTGTTGCCATATCTTGGCTATTGTGAACAGTGCTGCAATAAATATGCAAATATCTCGCCGAAATCCTGTTTCCACTTCCTTTAGATACATACTGAAAAGTGGAATTGTGAGATTGCATGGTAGATCTACTTTTAATATTTTGAGGAACCTCCATATTGTTTTCCATAGTGGTTGCACTAATTTACATTCCCATTAACAGTGCACAAGGTTTCCCTTTTCTCCACATCCTTGCCAGCACTTGTTGTCTCTTGGATTCTTGATGTTAGCCATTCTAACAGATGTGAGGTGATACTTCATTGTGGTTTTGATTTGCATTTCCCTGATGAAAAGTGACTTTGAGCATCTTTTCATGTGCCTATTGGCCATTTGTATGTCCTCTGTGGACAAATGTCTACCTAGTTCTTCTATCCATTTTTTTTTTATAGTTTATTGTCAAGTTGGTTTCCATATAACACCCAGTGCTCATCCCAACAAGTGCCCTCCTCAATGCCCATCACCCTCTCTTCTGTCCATTTTTAACAGTAGTGTGTTTTTTTTTTATTAAGTTCTGTTCGTACTTTGTGTATTTTGGATACTCCCACCCCTTATCTGATTATATGGTTTGCCAAATTTTTCTCCCATTCTGTATGTTGCTCTTCCATTTTGTTGTTTCTTTTGCTGTATGGAAGCTTTGGAATTTGATATAGTCCCATCTGTTGATTTTTTGCTTTTGTTTTTGCTTTCACCATCATGTGCAAAAAAATCATTGCCAAGACTAGTATTGATGAATTTCTTCCCTATGTTTTCTTCTAGGAGTTTAATGGTATCAGGTCTTTGTTTAAGTCTGTTATCCATTTGAAGTTAATTTTTGTGAATGGTGTGAGATAGGGGTCCACTATCATTGTTTTGCGTGTGTTTCTCCAGTTTTCCAATGCCATTTGTTGAAGAGATGATCATTCCCCACTGGGTGTTCTTGGCTCCCTTATTGAATAATTTGACCTTATATGCCAGGATTTAATTCTGGGCTCTGTATTCTGTCCCACTGGTCTATGTGTCTATTTTTGTGCCAATACCATACCGTTTTATTACTCTGACTATGCAGTATTATTGTTTAAAGCCAAGATGTGTGATTATCTCTAGCTTTGTTCTTTTTTCTTAGAATTGCATTGGCTATTCAGGTCCTTTTGCAGTTCCATACAAATTTTATCATTGTTTTTTTTTTATATTTGATGGGGATTGTATTGAATCTATAGATGATTTTCAGTAGTATGGCCATTTTAACAATATCTTCTGATCCACAAACATGGGATGTCTTTCAATTTGTTTTCTTCAATTCTTTTTTTTTTTTTTTTTTTTTTTTTGAAGTTTGGGGAGAGATAGAGGGAAAGAGAGAATCTTAAGCAGGCTCCACGCCCAGTGCAGAGCCCAGTGTGGGGCTCGATCTCACAGCTATGAGATCATGACCTGAGCTGAAATCAAGAGCTAGACGCTTATCTGAATGAGTCACCCAAGTGCCTCTTTTTTTTTTATTTCTTTGAGCAAAGTCTTGTAGTAATCATTGTAAGCACCATTTACTTCCTTAAATTAATTCCTAAGTACTTTATTTTTTTGATGCTATTATGATTGGGATAGTTTTTTAAAATTTCTTTTTCTAGTGATTTTTGTCTTAGTGTAAAGAATTTCCTGATTTCTGATTTCTGTAAGTTGATTTTGTAACCTGCCACTGTATTGAACTCATTGATTAATTCCAATGGTCTTTTGATTGGCTCTCTGGGATTTTCTCTATACAATAACATATCATCATCAAATAGTTAAAATACTACTTCTTCCTTCCCAATGTGCATGCTTTTTATTTTTTTGTCTCGCCTAACAGCTGTAGCTAGAACTTCCAGTACTATATTGGATAGGAGTAAAGAGAGTAGGCAACCTGGTCTTGTTGCTGATCTCAGAGGAAATCCTTTCAAATTTTCTCCATTGAATATAATGTTAGCTGTGGGTTTGTTGTATCTGGCCTTTATTAGGTTGAGGTATGTTCCTTCTATATCTAATCTATTAAGGATTTTAATCATGAAAAGATGCTGTATTTTGTTAAATGCTTTTTCAGTATCTATTGAGATGATCATGTGGTTTTTATCTTCATTTTATTATATGATTGAGTTACATTTATTGATTGGCATATGTTGAACCATCCTTGTATCCCAGGGATAAGTCCCATTTGTCATGATGTATAATCCTTTCAACATATTCTTGAATTCAATTTGCTAATATTTTGTTGTGAATTTTTGCATCTATATTCATCCGGGATATTGGTCTATAGTTTTCTTTTCTTGCGGTATCCTTATCTGGTTTTGCTATCAAAGTAATGCTGGCTTCATAGAATGAGTTTGGAGGTGTTCCCTCTTCTCAATATTTTGGAAGACTTTGAGGAGAACTTATGCTAATTCTTCCTTAGATGTTTGGTAGAATTCATCAGCAAAGCCATCTGAACCTAGAGATTTCTGATTTCTGTGTTGTTGTTGTTTGACTCAATCCTTGATGTGTTATTGATCTGTCCAGATTTTCTATTCCTTCCTGATTCAGTCCAGGTATATCATTGCTAAAAACATATCCATTTGTTCCAGGTAATGTAATTAGTTAGTATATAATTATTTGTAGTGTCTCTTAAAATTCTCTGTGTTTCTGTACTATTGGTTGCAATATTTCCTTTTTCACTTCTAATTTTGAATCTTTTTTTTTCATAGTCTAGCTAATGAGTTCGTCTAGCTATCAAATGTGTTTATCTTTTCAAATAATAAGTTTTTAGTTTTGCTGATCTTTTCTACTGTTCTTCTGGTCTTTATCTCATTTATTTTTGCTCTGATTTTTATTATTTTATTTCTTCTGCAATCTTTGAGTTTGATTAGTTCCTCTTTTTCTAGTTCCTTGAGGTGTAAAATTAGGTTGTTTAGATTTTTCTAATTTCTTAATATATTTGTTTATTGCTCTAAACTTTCCTCTTAGAACTGTTTTTGCTTCATCCTACAAAATTTGATATGTTGTATTTTCATTTTAACATGTTTCAAGATAATTTGTTTCTATTTTGATTTCTTCTTTGACCCATTGGTTGTTTAAAAATTTTTAAATGTTTATTTATTTCTGAGAGAGAGAGAGAATGTGAGCGTGGGAGGGGCAAAGAGAGAGGGAGACACAGAATCTGAAGCAGGCTCCATGCTCTGAGCTGTCAGCACAGAGCCTGACATGGAGCTCAAACTCAGGAACCATGAGATCATGACCTGAGCTGAAGTCAGATGCTTAACCAGCTGAATCACCCAGGTGTCCCAACCCATTGGTTGTTTAGAAGTGTGCTGTTTAGTTTCCTATATTTGAAGATCTACTCACTTTCCTTTTGTTGAAACTTGTAATTTCCTGCCATTGTAGTCAGAGAAGATAGCTGATATTGATTTCAATCTTTTTCAATTTGTTAAGATTGGTTTTGTGGCCTATCATATGATCTATCTTGGAGAATGTTCACATGCCCTTGAGAAGAATGTGTACACTGTGGTGGATGGAATGTTCTATATATGTCCAAAAGGTCCATTTATTTTTGAGTGTGTTTCAATTCCAGTGTTTCCTTGTTGATTTTCTGTCTGCACAATCTCTCCTTTGCTGATAGTGGGATATTGAAGTCCCCTACTGTTACTGTGTTGTATATTTCTCCCTTAAGATTTATTAGTATTTGCTTAATATATTTCAGTGCTCAGATGTTGGGAGTGTATATATTTATAATTGTTATATCTTCTTGATGTACAGAGGGGCCCCAATTTATGATGGTTTGACTTACAATGTTTTGACTCTATGATGGTACAAAAATGATACTCATTCAGTAGAAACCATGCTTTGAATTTTGAGTTTTTAATCTCTTCCTGATCTAGTGATATGCCATACTCTCTCATGAAATGGGCAGCCGCAGCGAGCCACAGTGCCTACTCATCCACGTGATCATGAGTGTAAACAACTGGTATACTTACAACCATTCTGTACCCACGTAATCATTTTGTTTTTCACTTTCAGTACAGTGTTCAATAAATTATCTGAGGTATTCAATTCTTTATTATAAAAAAGGCTTTGTATTAGATAGTTTTGCCCAATTGTAGACTAATGTAAGTGTTACTAGCACATTTAAGGTAGGCTAGGCTAAGCTATATGTTTGGTAGGTTAGGTGCACTGAATGCATTTTCAACTTATATTTTCAACTTTTGATGGGTTTATCAGGATGTAACCCTAGTGGAAGGAGATCAGTATTGACCCCTTTATCATTATATAATAACCTCCTTGGTCTCTTGTTACCAATTTTGGGCTTGAAGTCTATTTTGTCTGGTATGAGTATGGCTACACCTGCTTTCTTTTGGCTATCATTTCTTTGAATATCCTCCTCTGTCCCTTCATTTTGCATGTTTGTATTTGGAGCTGGGAAGAGTCTCTTGAAGGCAGCATGTAGTTGGGTCTTTGTTTCAATCCATTCAGACACTGTTCCTTTTGATTGGTGAGTTTAATCCATTTACATTTAAGGTAATTGATATATGAAAACATACTTTTGCCATTTTATCTTTTGGGTTCTTGTTGTTTTGTATCTCCATTGTCTTGTCTTTCCTTCTTTCATTGGTTTTTTATGTTGGTAGGTTTCCATGATAATTTGCTCAGTCCTTTCCTGCTTTTTATTTTATATTATTTAAAATTTTTTCAAACATTCATTTATTTTTGAGAGAGAGAGAGAAAGAGAGAGAAAGAGGGAGAGATTATGAGTGGAGGAGGGGGAGAGAGAGAGGGAGACACAGAATCTGAAGGAGGCACCAGGCTGTGAGCTGTCAGCACAGAGCCTGATGCAGGGCTAGAACTCACAAAGTGGGAGATCATGATCTGAGCAGAAGTTAGAAGCTTAACTGACTAATCCACCCGGGCACCCCTCCCCCATTTTTAAATGTTTTGTCTTTGCTCTAGATTTTTGTTTTGTGGTTCCCATGAGGTTTGTATATAATGTCTCATAAATAAAATAATCCTTTTTTCTGTTGATAGCAACTTATCTTCATTTGCCTATACTGGTTCTGGAATCTTCCTCCTCCCCTTTTATACTTTTGTTGTCACAAATTGTCTCTTTTTATGCTGTAATTTGATTGCCAAATTGTAGTAGCTATATTTGTTTTTAATGCCTTTTTCTTTGAAGCTTTATGTTACAGTCATATCCTATTCTAATAGAGGGTTACAATTTTCTGGTTAACATCCTATTCTAATAGAGGGTTATGATTTTCTGATTCTATCTATCACCTTCATAAAAATTTGGGGTATTTTTGTATTTTATTTTAGGTAGAAGAGCTCCTTCCAACATTTATTTTTGTAAGGCAAGTCTTGTGGTGGTGAATTCTCTCAGCTTTTGTTTGCTTTCCCTTTCATATCTGAAGGATCACTTTGCTGGATAGAGTATTCTTGCCTGGAAATTTGAATAGGGTATTCACTTTCTCCTGGCCTATAGAGCTTCTGTTGAAGAAATCTGCTGATAATCTAAGGGGGATGTCTTTGTAGGTTATGTTCTTTTCTTCACCACCACCCCCCCCCACTGCCTTTAAGAATCTTTCTTTATGATCAATTTCTGACAGCTTTGTTAAAATGTGTCTTATAGAGAACCTTTCAGCACTGAGATACTAAGGTGACCAATTAGCTTTGTGGACTTGTATTTATAGTTTTTTCCTCAGGTTTGGGAAATTCTCAGCTATTAGTTCTTTAAATAACACTTCTGCTCCCTTCTCCTTCTGGTATATCCATAATTCTTTTGTTGGTCTCCCTAAGGAAGTCTGAAAGCTCTTGTAGGGTTTCTTCACTTCTTAAAAATCTTAGTTCTCTATCACCTGAATCATTTCTAGATTCCTGTCTTCCAGCTCACTTGTTCTTTCTTCTCTCTGATCTCCTGTTTCCAATACTTTCTAATGTGTTCTTCATTCCCTCTGTTGAGTTCTTTAGCTTCAGAATTTGAGTCTTTTTGGCAAAGTACTCCTTGTGTTTATTAATTTTATTCCTCAGTTTATTAAATTGCCTTTCTGAGTTTTCTTCTAGCTTGCTGAATTTCTTCATAACCAGTTATTTTGAATTCTCTATCAGTTAGATCCTAATTTTCTGTGACTTGGAGGTTGGTTGCCGGAGAACTGTCATTTTCTTTTGGTGATACCATCTTACTGTGAGTTTTCATGGTGTTTGATGAAATGAGCCTCTGCTGGCACATTTGAAGTAATGAATGCTTTTCTTATTTAGGTAAAGTTCTATTGACTTTGATTTTAACAGTTCAATAGGTTGGGAATTGAAGACCTTTATTTTATTTTCCAGCAGGTGGCGATATAGTCCATTTTTTCTCTTACCTAAGCTGCTTTATGGCTGTATTTGAGAGCACACATTTTCCACCCACCACCTGCTCTTCTGGAGGGGTCACTGAGGCCATCACAGTTACCTGTGCACTGGTGTCATCACCAGTGCTGAGGTTGCCAGCGTTGCTGGTGTGCTTCTTGGTGTGCTGGGGTCATGGGTGCTGCTACTGCCCAGGGTTGTTGGAGATACATGGTCTTGGGGGCCACGGACACTGGGTTTACAGGCACCACTGCTGCTGCTCCCCTGGTTTTCCTGCCTCCATGAGGTATATTCCTTCAGATGCATAGATGTATGATTTTCTGTGGAGTCCTGATGTGCTGTACAGAGGAACCCCTGTTGGGTTACAGGTGCCCTACTTGTTGTAAATTAAAGGAGAGAAACAAAGAGTTTCTCATGCTGCTGTGGTGCTGGTGTTACTCCTCACAAATTTCTTTTTTTTTAATATTTATTTTTGAGAGGAGCACACACAGTCGCACAATAGAGTGGGGGAGAGGTAGAGAGAAAGGGAGACAGAGGACCTGAAGTGGGCTCTGTGCTGACAGCAGAGAGCCCAAGTGGGGCTCAAACCCACAAACTGTGAGATCATGACCTGAGCCAAAGATAGATGCTTAACCAACTGAGCCACCCAGGAGCCCCACTCCCCCCAAACTTCTTAAAAGTTCATGCAGATTTTGTTATTTTGCTCATAATATAAAAATGTCACAAATTGGGAGAGAGGGCAAGATG